CCAGCTAGTCTTTCTTCAAAAGCTCCTCTGGTGGACTTGACCTTCCTTCAGTCCAGTTAGTAGCCAAGTACCTTAATATTTCAACCACAAGTCAATGAAAACAATCCACGGCCCGGTGTGATAGCTGGTAAAATCACACACTAAAGAGAGAGGTAGTGAACACAGTAAAGGGTGTGAGAAGGGGAGATCAGAAAAAATGGAGAATCAGTTATAGGGTCCTGAGAAGTGAGGAAAATGGAGAATTAAAACCAGAACTGAGATTCTAGAGAAAATATGAAAAATAGTCAGAACTAAGGGCAGAGAATGACCACACAGAGACAAGGCAGAACCCAAAAGCATTTTGAGGCGGGGAGTTAAGAAGGGACAGAACTATGGGCGGGGTATCTGGGGGAGGGAGGCCAGTATTGGTCTGAGGACACCCTTTTCCTCAATAAATAAGAAGCTCCCTTGTGGGGAGTAGCAAGTAGTACAACTGTAACATGAATGTTAACATTCCTTTGGAAAGAAAAAATATGCAAAGTATGCTCACAAAATCTGCACGAAGGGAACATCACTGCTTCTATTTTTTCCTAAAAAAGAGTTTGCAGGTGCATCTGAAAGAAACTAAGCTAGAGAAAAGTCACCACAGAACACCATTTGCTAATCAAGTCAGATTGCACAATCCTACCCTATAGCTCAAACACCCTAAAACTCAAGGGCAGTGAGGTTTTGTTTTTTTTATCTTTTGTCTTCATGAACAAAATGCAGAATCAACACTGGATTACATGGGCACATACTTAATCCAAAGGATGTGAATTTATTTAGATTTTATGGTAAGAATGTTCTGAGAACTTGAAAGAAAGCTAAAATGAAGAACCTAAAGTTTAAATAAGTCCTACTTTTACATTAAAAAATTCATGTTTGAAATTCTCAAATTGGTCATCAAGCACATTAACCTCCTACATGTTGCTGCTATTTTTAAAACCCAAGTCACAATATTCATTATGCAAACTAAATAGGCAGTGTTTTGTACTGTTGTGCATGAGGTCGCTATGGGCTGGAACCTACTCAATGACATCTAACAACATCTGCTCCTCAGATACGTAGATTCACGATCCAGCAGGCACATGGCTCACAGACAGAATGTCCACATACCCCAAACACCCAGCACCTTGGAGAGGACTGGGGACGAGCCTGGCCAGGGTCCATTTGGTAACCAGAGTGAGAGGCAGCACTGGGCTCTCCCTCTCAGCAGCAGTGGTGCTTCCGTCCCCCACCCCCACTGCAGTCGGCACAGGGGAAGAGGCAGTGGCATCAGGAGCTTTCCTTTCTCTCGGCCTCTACAGGTAGGACTACAGCCTAAGAACTCAGAACTTCAAGGACAGCACAGAGCAGGGATAACCCAAGTGTTTGCGGGATGAATATATGGAAAGAAGGGGGAGAGGATGGGCAGTCAGAAAGGAGAGGAGAGAGAGAACGAAGTAGAAAAAGGAAGAAAGGTAAATAGAAATAGAAAAGGTAATAAAAATATTTATCTGCTCAACAAATAAGGGGCTATGCTTACTTCCTGGATCAGTACACACAAATTTAATATTTTTATTAAATTCCTTTTGCAATTACCTTTTATTTTCTTCTTGTGCCTTAGTCCTATCAGCTTCCAATTCCAGACTCAGAAACTGTAGGGTAGGTCCTGCAAGTCCATGGAAGAATTTCTACAAGGAAAAGAAAATGGATTAAAAAGTTCTGAAGAATAACAGTAATTACTTTTCAATGCTATCATTCGAATGAAATGGATTTTCACTGAATGGCAGACAATATATTTCCAAATACATCTTGGGAAACAAAGCCCTTTTCTAGTTTAGCAGCTCTAGTAAACTTTACTCATAATGACCTAGAGGACAGGGTAGAACTTCCCCTTGGGTTTCTGAGACTGTAACTCTTTACAGGACTAGAAAGTCAATGAGCTGGAGCTGACGTGCTGTCAGTAAGTTTAAATTTTGGTTTGAGTGAACATTAAGATTACTCAAAAAAGAAAACAAAAACCAACAGTTGGGTAGACTTGGTTTTTGTTTTGCTGTGTTTTTATTTCAGTTTTTCGTAAACAGAAAACCAACCAAACAGTGCTGCATATTATAGTCTCAATATTCAAAACCTTGAAAAAGGACATGTCATTTTTCTGTCTCACAGAACCATGTTGGGCATGATGTTGTCCTCAAGTGTATAATGGGCATATTGTAAGGAAATAGGTATATTGTACTTCAGAAACTTTGTTAATGTTTGGAAGTGAAAGAAGTATTACAAAATAGGCATTCTCACTGGCCTTGTTCTCCAAATGCAGTTTGCAGCCTGAACACGAACACGAATGCAGTCTTACTTGACCTGTAGCTTCTTTCTCATAGTCAGCAATAGCACGGGACAAGTCCTTGGGCAAGAGAGCCATAGATGCTGAGCACACATTATTTTTAGGAAGGGAATAAGATAGCAGGCTTTGACTTTGCTCTGGCTCAGAAACAACGCGACTCTATCTTCCAAAGGGAAGAAGGGATACACATGCTCTTTAGGGAAAGGCACTTGCCCCGTGTTTCTGAAACACAGATCATTTTTACCCAACCTGGATAAATTGTGAAAATGATTGTTAACTGGAAATTCTGCAACTCCACAAAAAAAGGCAGGAAAGAAAACATAAGTTTCTTCTACTATGCAAATGCTTGGCCAACTGACTGGAAGAGATCCATATTTGTATCCATTCCAAACAAAAAGTGACCCCATAGAATTCTCAAATTATAGAACGATATCCTTAATAGCACCTGTAAGTAAATTTTGCTGAAGAACATCCAACAATGGTTGCAGCAGTATATTGAAAAGAAGATACCAGAGGTTCAGGCCAGGTTCAGAAATAAGACAAAGCATATAACACGAAAAAGATATTTACTTGTGTTTTATTGACTATTCAATTGTACGGCTCATAACAAACTATGGATACACTTGAGAAGAATGGGAATTCCAGAACACTACATTGTGCTCACGCAGAACCTGTACACGGATCATGATGAGGTAGCTGTGCAAACAGAATAAGGGACTACTTCATGGTTTAAAAGCAGGAAAGGGTTGTATCCTCTCACCATACTTATTCAATCTGTATGTTAAGGAAATAATCAAGAAGCTTGATTATGTGAAGAAGAACTGGGCATCAGGATTGAAGGAACGTATATTAACAATCTGCGATATGTAGATGACACAACTTGTTTGCTGAAAACAAAGAGGATTTGAAGCATTTGCTGATGAAGATCAAGAATTGTAGCCTTCAGGATGGATTACAACTCAATGTAAAGAAAACCAAAATCCTCACAACTGGACCAATAGTTAACATGATAAATGGAGAAATGATTGAAGCTTTCAAGGATTTCACTTGCTTGGATACACAATTAATGCTCATGGAGGCAGCAATCAAGAGCTCAAATGACAAGTTGCAGTGGATAAATCTGCTGCATGAGACCTCTTTAGAATGTCGAAAAGTAGAGAAGTTACTTTGAAAAACAACGTGCACCTGATCCAAGCCATGGTATTTTCTTTCTTTCTTTTAAAAAAAAATCATTTTGTTAGGGGCTCTTACAGCTCTTGTAACAAACCATACATCAGTTGTATCAAGCACACTTGTACATATGTTGTCAACATTTTCTAGACATTTTCTATTTGAGCCCTTGGGATTAGCTCCTTTTTTCCCTTTCCTTCACCCACCCTCCCACACTCGTGACCCCTTGATAAAGGATAAATTGTTTTCATATCTTACAGCATCCGTTGTCCCCCTTCACCTATGTTTCTGTTGTTCTCCCCCTTTTGGTGGGGAGGGGTGTTATGTCGATCATTGTGATCTCATTTTCTCCCCCTTCTTCTACCACCTTCCCCCTATCCTCTTGGTATTGTTATTCCCATTTCTGTTCTTGAGGGGTTTATTTGTCCTGAAATCTGTGTGTCTAGAGCTCCTATCTGTATCAGTATACAGTGAACCCTCGTTTATCGCGGTTAATCGGTTCTAGACCCTACCGTGATAAATGAAATCCCGCGAAGTAAGATTCCTTATTTGTAAATCAAACATTTTTGTAGTTAGAGCATAGAGGACATGAAAAAACACCCTTTAGTCACCATTACACTCATATTACCCAATTTATTAAACGAAAAAGGGAAAATACAGTAAAACATTTTGGACGTTACAATTATCATTTATTATTTATTATATTATTTATGGCATCAAGCGTGTACAGTATGAGCCAATCAGTGGCAGTAATGACAGAGCATGTGCTGTTACGCAAAAACCGCGATAGAGTGAAGCCGCGGAAGTCGAAGCGTGAAGTGGCGAGGGTTCACTGTACATGCTCCAGAGTAGCCGTATTTGTAAGGTAGAGTTGGGGTCATGACATTGGGAGTGAGGACGCCTCAAGGAACCAGAGGACTATTGTGTGTTCTGTCGGTGCACCCTGGATGACTCACCCTTACTTGTGACCCTTCTGTGAGAGGATGTCCAATCATCTACAGATGGGATGTGGACCTCCACTCGACCTTCCTCATTTACATCAATAGAATTATTTGTTTTGGGTCTTCTGGTGCCTGATATCTTTCCATTAACACCTCATGATGTCGAAAAGGCTAGTGTGCTTCTTCCATGTGGGCTTTGTTGCTTCTGTGCTAGATGGCCGCTTGTTTAACTTCAAGTCTTTAAGACCCCAAATGCTATATTTTTTAATAGCAGGGCACCATCAGCTTTCTTCACCACATTTGCTTATATACCCATTTTGTCTTCAGCAATGTTGGGAGGGTAAGCATCACAGGAGGGTGAGCCAGGTTAATAGAACAAAGTGTTCTTGTGTTGAAGGAGGGCTTGAGTAGAGGCCTAAAGTCCATTCACTTCCTGAACATATTGCCATATAAATATATGTACGTATGCCAATACCTCCTTTTTATGAATTAATATACTTACATATGTACACAACTACGTTTCTACCTCTATCACTGGTTTTGCTTCCTAGATCATTCCTGTTTCCTTTTACCTTTCTCTTGCTCCATATCATTCTCACCCTTCATTTGCCTCACAATAATTCCTCTCAGCTAGATTGCTGTTGCTCCAACACCACCGGGGTACCTAGGCCCGCCCCACCTCGCCATTGATTTTAATTTCCTAGTTGTTCCCATGTCCATGGTATTGTTGGCTCACCACTCCCTTCCCTCAGTCTCCTCCTCCCCCCAAGTCCCCCAGGAACTGTTGGTCACAATGCTTTCTCCTCAGGCTTGCTTCTCCTGCCTATCTTATATAGGCAGACAAAACAGCTAGAATGAAGACCCCCCCAAAGCTCCAAAAGATTGAAGGGGAGATATAAAGAAAGCAAAAAGTGAAAGAGAAAAAAATCCATATGTAACTCCAGGTCTGTCCGCTGACCTTTAAGACTATCTCCCCACTGGTCCTGGGGAGCTCTGGGTACTGCCCCTCCTAGCCTGAATTCCACTTTGGGGGGCTCCTCTGGGGCTTTGTGACTTTGTTCTCGTTGCTGATTTGTTATGCTCCCTTCTTGGTTCACCCCACTATGGGAGGGTCAGATCAGGCTCACTCCCCACAATGTGTCCCTGGTATTGTCCTCTCTAGGGGTATGCTCCAGTGAGGGGACATCGTGTCTTAAGCTGTTGTCGGCCCCACAGTCCTCTATGGGCCTTAGGAGCTCCATGTAGGGATATCAACCACGGGGCTTGGTGTGCAAGAATGGGGTCTAGTCCCTCCCTCTCTCATTTTCCTTCTTCTTTTGCTCCCATGTGGGTGTGTCAGGCTGGCCCTTCTCCCCAGCCTGTAGGTTCAGTGTTGTCTTCTGTAACACATGCCTCTGGGAGGGGTCAGTATATCTTGAATTGGGGCCATAGTCCTCTCAGTTCATGAGTTACTCCATGTGGTTACATTGCCCTCATACATCTTCAGGTTTATATTAAATCATCTAATTACCACGATTGGAATAGAATTTGGCATTTATTTTACAGAACTAAAAGAACTTTGTAGTACTTGCTGGAGCAAATTGGACCTAAATGGACATTGGATTAAATTTTCTTGTCACAGGTCATATTAAAAGCCTATATATTTAGTTATTTGAATTCCACTAAAATATTACCTTTTCAGTGGGTAAATAAAATAAAATCTGAAATTGCTGGTTGTAAATGAAAACTAAAGTTATGAAATTATCGAACCTAACAGAGATTTAGAGAAGGCAGGGGGCAAGAAGGATGGTGTTAGAATTCGTAATGCACTGAAGGGTAGTGGCTATTGGGCCGCTGCCTCACAGAGATTAACCTTGGACTGATGCTGATAGTGACTCTTTTTTCTCTTTGTGAAGTTACAGGAGCTCCAACCCTGTTTCCATACCATTGTTGCACCTCCTTTCTGAAGCTCTGTGTAATGAGAAATCTAGTAGTGGTGCTGCCTATCCGACCTAGATTTCACATAGCTTTCACAAATACAAAGGAAGCCTGAGAGTGGTTATGTGAACAAAACTAAGCTACTGCCCACTTTCATGCTTACACCTTTTAGAACAACCTACTTTCTCTGTGGTCACTGGTAAAGAGAGGCTGTTCTGTAAAAACTAACAATAGATAAAAACAAAGCCTCTAAATTTCCTCTTTATTTTTCATTTGTAACCAGCAATTTAAGATTTTATTTACCTGCTAAAAAAAGTGAGAT